TATTACTCAGGACCGTTCAGAGATCATCTGCTGAACTTGGTAGCACTGCTAACATTTGTTTTACAAGATAATGGACGACGTCGAAAATATGTTCAGTAAACCAGATTAGAGCGATGATAATTATCACTGATAAAGGAGATGTAAAGGCATTGGTGTCCGAATGGTAATGGTATAGGTAGATAAGTGATGGATTTGTAATTGATGAAAACCATGTAAGGATCACCTGTATAATATAAAGGAAAAATTTATTAAATATAATTAGAAGAAAAAAAATAATAAAGCTTATTGATTTAATCATACCAAATTATCAAGCCATGGCCCAATACTATCAGCTCTTCTTGGAATTGGTCTTCTTGTATGTTGGCACAATTTTATTGCATCAGAACGGAGTTCAAACCAATTGTTTAAAAGTGCAAATAATGGAGTCAATGGCCAAACAGTAGAAAACAAGCTGACGTAGCCATACTGTGGAATTAATCATATTAAATTACCAATGTAGGAGATAAAACCATCGAATATAGACACATACTTGAGTGATCATTTCTGCATAATCTTCATAAATTTCATAAACTGGTAACTTCACTTCTTTCCTAACTCTTTTTAAGAATACAGATTCGTCTTCATTTCTTCCACCATCTTTAGTAGCGCCATTATTTTGAATCCTTTTCATACTAAATGCTCCAAACCGAATCAAATATGGTAAGATAAGTTCCGTGAACATGCTCAATATTTGAGCGGTTAAAACAAAATATTTTAATTCAGTGACGAGTCTTTCCGGACCGACTTTCTTAATTGTCAGTGAAAAACCAAACAAATTAAAAACTTCTTGAAAGTAATAACCAATTTCTGTATTGAATGGGACATAAATCCACCCAATAAAGAGTATTGACAAATAACTAATCAAGAAATTAGCTATGAAAATTTTTTGTGTCAAGTTAAATTCGTAGCGGGATTCAGTTTCATAGTTTTCATAGTCATTTAATCGTCGCGCAATTTTGATATAGGAACTATTTATAGCTGGGATTAGCAGACAATATACAATAGTTGGAACGAATATCTATCGTAATAAAAATAGTAAAATATTAATATCAAGATATTCTAATAATAAAATCGAACGTCTAAAAAATAAGTAAATAATTACATATAAAACATACCAATTGATCTCTGAACGGTCCTGAGTAATATTCAGACATGATAACCTCAAACATTATATAAAAGAGTAGAGATAATGATAAAATTATGCTAAAAATGATTATTACAGGTGCTGCAATGGTCCTTCTTAACCATCTTTTCCATGGAGAAAAGTATGGAACTTGTTCACCCGTAACAGGATCTGTAATAAAGCGTTCTTCTCTAAATTCGGGTCTGCGTCTTTCGACACGTGAGAAATTACGAACACCCCACCAAACTGCCAATTCATATTCTTTACGGCGCCAGAATTCGACGAAGGTGAGCGACCAAATGACAGTAAATATGCTGAATGGTATTGAATATTTAGCGCCAGAAAAATGTGACACTATTCCAACAATTGATGGTATAACAAGCCATTTACAATAAAATTGGAGAAACGCGAAATAATACGCGATCTGGACGCCAAATCAATTAATGGTAATTAATAAAAAATGTTTCAATTATAAAAATTATAATGATGCATACTTTTTCACCAAAATGATTTCTTAGCCGAAGTAGGTCATCTTTATCGATCATCCATTTCGTTGACCAGGTTTTTATCCAATCCTTAAATATATATAATATATAAATTAATAATAATAAAAATATATATAAATCAATAATAAAAATTACAAAAAATTTGGTTGATAAAAAAAATTTTTTTTTAAGAAAATTAAAAGCAACCTCGTTATAAATTCTATCGTGAAGAGGTAAAAAACCTTCAACTATTTCAAAATCACCTAATCCTGGATAAATATTGGCACCTCCTTCATAAAGGGGGTTAGTAATTATGTCGTGAACAAGGCGCAATCGTTCTGCATCTGTTAGAGGCGCATCTCTATTTTCATCGATATCACGAATACGAACACCTGTAAGCCAATCGTGGACTCTATACAAGAATTTTCAGTAAATTATAATTGATAACTATTTATAATCATAAATTTTAGTAATAATTGGTACCTTGACCTATCGGATTCTTGTTTAAGCCTATCTAATGGACATAAAACAAAGACAAAAATCAAGTCGTCGGATCCACGGCGAACTTCATATTTGAGACCAACACGACTAAGTCGTGTTAATAACTTTCTACACGTTTCTTCGAGTTTTTTTTTGTATAATTCCTTCTCTACCGGTGATAATTTGCTGAAAGGTTTTGAACGAATTATTGTTACATAGTCAGCGAAAACCTCTTTACTTTCCTTCGTGTTGTGTATGCGATGAAATAACAAATTTTGTGTTCCTTGTACAACATTCGAAGTTGCAAATTTTGAGACAGCAGCTGTAACGGGAGCAAGCGGATTTAAGCGATTGATATCAGTCATTTTGAAGTATCATAACGAGAGTTTGAATTGAGTTTGAATTCAATTTAACCAAGTTCATTACGTAGTTTCGTTAAACACATGATGTAATTGGTTATGATAAACAGAAATAAACAAACTGTATTGTGTGACGATGATTAACCTCTAATTAAATGCATAAGGAAAGATGCACGATTCACACATTCTCGAAATTGGCATTTGGCGTTTTTAATCATTTCTAGCGCTAGCGGTGGCGGTTTTTGGTGATCCGAGTGAAAGAACGTAACAATTACTCAATTTTTCAAAAATTGCATGCATAGTATTTATACAATTTAATGATCAACAATTACAGGCTATAAAAGAATCAATTACTCGGCATAAAAGTAAAATTTTCTAAATTCTCCAGTAGTTTATTATTAAAAGTCTACTAGTAGATCTTTAAAACCGTGGCTTATGATTTTATGCAATATTACAATATTAACGTTAAATTAAAATTTTCTACGTATAACCGATATCGATACGTATCGATTATATCATTAGGGTGTTAATTATTGTTTGAGATTATGTGTAATCATGTGTTAAATACTTAATATGCTTTTTAAAATATTTAACGTTAATCTTTTTTGTAGTGATTGTTGTTGGGATTATGAATATGGATATTGTATATTTCGGAAATATACAGTTAAAACTGTTGAAACTACTCTCTGTGACTATATCAATATCAGATATGTAAAAACTTTTAAATGTTCAGTTTATGCTTGAAAATCAAATTTGGATTACATGATTTACTATGTCCCGTAAGTCATTTTCAAGGCAAAGACCCCTATTTAGCATGTAGTGTTTGTTTATAATTAGCATATTTAGAGTAATTATATATAAGAAATGTAATTCACTGTATTGAAAAGGTAGTTTTTAACAACTCAATTATTAAACAATAAAGACTATTTCAACTTTCACCATATATAATTAAAGATTTTTCAATTTTTGTCGATCATTTTATTATCATAGTAATTTATTATAAAAATCACGTATCTTTAAACCGTTCTAACTCCCGTTCTATAAAAGCAAATTCAATTTTGTAATTTGCAAATGATATTAGAATAGTGTAGTTTTAAAACTATGTTGAGACATTTTTAAATTTATTTTGTCAAATGTTTTTTTAGTCGTGAATTTTAATAGTAAAATATTCACGATTTATAAGTTTATACTATAGAGGCCTGAAATATTTACATATAATTCTTAAATGTCACAACATAGTTTTATAGCCACACTATCCGAATATTATTTACAAGTTGCAGAATTGAATTTGCTTCACTAGTGCAAGAGTTAGAACGTTGTAAATATAAATTTAAGTATGATATATATAATCCAGTATGAATATAACTAATTTTCATACTGTGACATCATCTGTATTATAAAATTGTAAATAAAATAAACTTTTGGAGGTTAGGATTAGGGTTTGAATTCGTGTTAGAGTTAGGGTTAAAAGGTTATATATATCCAAAATTACGTGCTGAAAACTTTTACTTAATAGCTCAAAGCTAGTTTTCATAATAAAATTTTGAGATATTTGTGATTTTTTTTAATTTTTTTCTTAAAAATTTTTTTATTTTTATTATATAAGATCTTGTGATCTGATTGGTTTTACATATAAATCATACTTAAAACATTCTCAATTGGTTAATATTAAATATTTTAGTTTAATTATCGTTATCTAATTAAATAATTTTTTTTTTAGTTCAAAAGAAAACCTCTTTTTAGTTAGACCAAACTAATTGTTCAATATAATAACATAACATAAAATAGCTATAAGAAAGAGAAAAAAAAAATATACCAATATAGCAATTTTATTAGTTGATTTAACTTGTATTAGTTATATAAAATTTAAAAAATTAAAAAGCAAATACTATTAATATATAAAAAATAGAGAAAAGAAAGTTATGTTAAACGAAGAATTAATTTGATCTGGCCTTATTAATAAAAAAAATTTAGAATTAAATTTTATATATGGACTTGGTGCTGTGAAATTGATAAAAAAAAATCTCAATTTTTATGTTATAACAACTACTTTTGTAAATTGATTTATATAAAAAAATATCTTAAAAAAATTGTTACAGTATTTTCATTCTTTTTTATAGCACCTAGCTCATATATTTGAATTATTTTTTTATAATAAAGTTATATACAATTTATGTGATAGTATCACATATAGAAGGTGATACTAAAAGTTACTAAATAAAAATATGTTACTACAAATGTGACAAATAGCGATTAAATAAGTGACCTGTATAATCGTTATCATTACTAATATAAGTGACCTGTATGATCATTATCATTATCAATTAAACTAATATTGGTGTTAGCGAGGGTTAGAGTAAATATCGTCATTAGGTTTAGAGATATTTATATGTGCATTTTTTTAAAAATCATACATATTTTTTTTTCGCAAGTTGGATTTTTCATATCCCTCCAGCATTTCAACATTTATTCTCTTCTCTCCTCTTGTTAGTATGTATAATAGTACATTACGTTATTACATAAACTATTTTTTTTCTCTTGAGTTTTTTTTTCTCGAATCTTTTTTTTTTCTCTATTAAGTTTTTTGCAACATCACATTATTGCACAAGCTATTTTTTTTCTTTTTCTTTAAAAATAATGAAACAAACACTATTTAGAAGTTTAGAAAATATTTTACTGAATAGTTATCCAAATGAAGATGAAATAAATACTTATGACTTAACAGTATATGAAAGTTTACCTAATGAAAGTGACACTAGTAGAGAGCTAGAATACAATTATGAGAACAATTATGAGGATAATTATGAGGATGATAATTATGAGGACGATAATTATGAGGATAATAATTATGAAGATGATAATTATAAAGATGATAATTCTGAGAATGACAATTCTGTAAACAATAATTCTGTGGACAACTCAAAAAATACAAATAGTCATCAGTCAGTATACCTACCTTCACTTCATGTTGAACTGTACAGTGAAAAGACTTTTGAGATGTGGGAAGAATATTAAGAAGTATTGGAATGCTATGCAAAGCAAAATAACTTTGTTATTAGGAAAAAATAGGTAGATAATAGTTATGATTCATGTCAGTATATATGGGATTGTAAATAGTCTGGTAAATATATTTTACACAAGACTGTTTCACCTAAAAAGCAAAGAAACAAAGGTTCAAAGAGAATTAATTGCCCTTTTCTTATTAATATATCCAAGAGTAAGAGTCCCAATTGTAACATGATAATTAAATTAACATTGATATGTCTTGAACATAATTACACTTTGATCCCTGACAATGCAATTTTTACTACTAGATATCGGAAGCTCACTTTAGAAATAAAAGATCTTATCAAAAGCTTTACGCTTTGTAATCTTGATATTTCCTCTCAGGTTCAGTTGTTACATGAGTTGTTCTCTGAAGCAATAATTATAGATTATGATGTAAAGAATTATGTATATAAGGTTCACCGGAGTTATGAAATACAAGGTAATGATGCAGCAAAGCTTCTTCAATACTTAGAAAAAGAACGCACTAAGGATCCTAATTGGTACATCTAACTGTTAATTGATTCTGAGACAAATAGATTACAGAGTGTATTTTACATATCACCTAAACAATGAGAACTTTAGCAGAGCTATGCAGATATTATTTTAAATAATAATACAGCATCAACCAATATCTATAACTTATCATTAAGTATTTTTGCTATTGTTGATAACAATTTCAATTCAAGAATTGTAGCATAGGCTATATTATTTATGAAACAAGTGAAAGTTACAGATAGTTATTACAGCAAATAATTGATGCTACAGGGGTTCATCTCAGTGCTTTTGTTATTGATACTAATCCAGATCTTGAAAGTGTTGTCTCTAAGATATATCCAAATATTTACCTTCTCCATTGCATTTAGCACATTGGGTGTAATATTGAAAAACTATTATCTAAGACACTTGGTGATCATTATTCTGATTTTCTCAAAGCATTTTATTGTGCTCGAAATGTTTTATGCAAAGAAGTATTTGAAAGATATTAGAAATAGCTAATGATTGACTTTTCAGATTCAACTGAATATATGCTTAGAAAACTCGATCCTTGCAAAACAACCTAGGCAAAGACATTCACTAGACAGATTTTTATAGCAGGAATAATATCTACTCAGTAGTTTGAGTCAATAAACAGTATAATTAAACGAACTATAAATGAAAAAACTCAATTACACAATCTGTTTAAACAAATTGAATTGTGTGTTGCTAAAGAGCAATTTACTAGTCGATTTTCAGTCTAGCATGAAAAAATATTATCATATAAAACATCAAAATTTGTAGAAGGCTTTTTCCAAATATATACAGTATTTTACAACAATATATAACACCTAAAATTTTACAATTTCATGTTGATCAAATAAATGAGGCAGTTATATATAATAGTCGAAAAGTTAATTTTAATGATTTATTCAATTTGATATTGAATACAGTAGAAAATAGGCCAATTGAACTCGAATATAATTTTCATTAAATACGCTTTAATGAGCTTTTTGAGGAGGTTAATTATTCTTTAATAGCTGAAGTTTAGGAGGTTTGATCAATTAAGAATATGTCAAATATCAGACAACATGTAGTTTTACTAAAAAATAGCTTCCATTTCTGTATCTGTATTTTGTTATTTGGCAGTGGTATTGTCTGCTGTCATTAGTTTTATATTCTTTTACAATTCAAAAAAGGTCTCTTCTATATTTCTCTTATCCCAAAATGTTGGTATAAAGATGAGATGATAAATATATCAGTTATTAATGAACTATTTGTCAGAGGAAAGTTACAAGAATCTAAAGATTCAACATTAAATGTATCAAACATACCTTTGTTTTCAACTATCACTAAGTCATAGAATACTTTGTCTATTGAAACACCTGAACAAATAGCTGTAAAAGTAATTGGCCAAAAGCAATCTATCAAAGGGATATAGCTTGGACTTGTACACAAATGCATAGAATTAGTTAATTATGATAATCTTAAAAATTCCGACATTTTGATAAAAATGTTTAAAGAATGGATTTGTGAACATGAAAAGATACAGTGTAATAAAGAAATAAATATATTATGAAATACTAAACATGAACAAGCCACAGAATACAGACAAGATATGAAATGTGAACAAATTATGGAAAATGAAGAGGTTATAAAAGATGATTAATGTGAGGAAAAAAATCAAATTTCAGAATGTACTCAGGCTTCTGGAATTACATACCATGATGTTCAAAACCTACTTCAGCATGTTGGAAAAGGTCGATCTACAAAATAACGAATTAAATCAGCAATTGAAAAAAATAAAAAAATTAGATCAACAAATAATAATTTACACTATACTTTTTGATATTGTAGTGTTTGTAAAAGTAAAGAGCATAATAAGTGAAATTGTTCCAACAAATAATTAGTATGAAAATATTGTAATATTTAATGTTTAACTTTAATATGTATATATATATATTTTTTTTTTTATTAATTGATAATATCAGTTAGGAAAAGAATTAGTACATTTATATATCAGAATGGTATATATGTGAAGCTAATATATATTCCTAATGTGCATTGTTGTTACTAAGACTATTTGTTAATAGTTAGGTATCCAGTGTGATATTACATCCTTATTTTCTATTTGCTAGCCGATTTAAACAAAGTTACTATCGACTATAGAGGAGGTTAAGAGAAACCTCTAGGAAAAGGAGAAGATTAATTAGAAAAAACAATTATATATAGAAAAGTTTTGAAGTAAACATTTTTGAATA